TACAGGCGGGGTAGAATTCCTTGTTATGTAGAATTTACCACTCGTAGTCATTTGCGACCTTATTTCACTTTCTATCGCCGTGCTAATTTTGCTGATGGACAAGAGAAGATCACTAAGATTGATTGAATCTTGGCGTCCTTCGAACCAGATGAAGATGACAATGAAGTGGGAAGCAGTACTACGAGGAACTGGAAGGCTTAGTGCAAAAGACGTCCATGTATACAATCATCCTAAGAGATTTCAGTACCATGGCAGGAAATGAAACAAGCGGTATTCGGCTTCCAAAGTATTTAATCGGCCGGTTTAAAAGTGGAGAGGGAACCTAACGCTGTTACCGCCTCCGTATCATGACTGCTATTTTGTGAAAAGCCGAAAAGCGGCACTAGACGTGAGGAACCGTAATAAAGCGGCCATTAATCAAATTGGCGACAGACTAGCACAAGGCGGGTAATAACACGTTTCATTGTCTTTCATCGAACATCATCTGCACGTTGTCAGACCACCGATTATTCTGCTCCACAGTCAAATTCGATGTCGCTAAAGACGATCGAGTTAGAAGGGCTCATAGAACACTGGCCATTAGACGAATATTCGATCCTGAAGCTTTTGCAATCAAACTTACTCAGCTGAACCTCGTAGTATAGATAGTCTGAGGTATCGATGAAAACTGCCAGCACGCCATTGATAGATCACAGCTACTCTCCGGTTATCCAGCCAGCCGGACAGTAATGTTGACAACAAAATTATGCACTGGCCCTATAACGAGGCAACTGTTGGCCAGAAGTAACAGAATCTCGGCTGATTGACGAGGAGTACACTGCATTGTGCAAAGAATTACAGAAGAATTGGAGGGAGGATTATGACGAGTGCATGAGAATGAAGTTGAGTGAAGCCGGATTAAAGAGAATAGCCTGCAGGCCGCCTAGGAAACATCATCCTAAAAATGCGGAGTCCAGTAGCAGTAAAGAACAAAGGATGAAGGAGAACCACAGATCGCTGTCGCATGAAACGATGGGCATGACGACCTGTAGTCTTAGAAGGTATAGGTAAACCGGGTATTGCCGGTCATTTCTCCGGAAATCGTTCTTCTCTGCTACAGAATAGAATGGACATTCAAGAATATCAAGAGTGGCAGATGTCCTGGAAGGCACGGCATGAAACCGGAACATCTAGTCAGGTGGAATGACCCTCTTCAATTACCTTGTCTAAAGAGTTACAGAATAAATCAGATTATAAAAGACTCAGGAAGCATGAATGAGTTCTTCGAAAATTCTTCTGTTCAAGAAAGGTGATGGTGATGACGCCCAGAGCTTTGGATTCATCACTCCCCTGTTACAAGTTTACAAAATATTTACTGGAATCATCCTCAGCATATCCGTATCTGGAAGTACAGATTCTCGCTGTTAAGAAGCAAGACGGCTTTCGAACAGGGCTGTACAGCATCCGTGTAATGTAGTAATTAAGAGAGAATTGTAAGTATTACCAATTAGATCTCTGCTACGCATTCTTTGACATCTGAAAAGCATTCCATTCCATCAGTCTGAACGCTGTACTGAACACCTCGCACGACTGCCGTATCAACCCTGTCTAATTCAAACTGGATACTGGCACCGCAGCCAGCATCAGGCAGTTTAAGAAACCGTGTCATATCAACTTCAAAAATTTACTGTTACCCCAGGGAAATTCCATCCCTCCTAAGCTTTTTCGAAGGCCCTGGAATGCTTCTTTAACCGTCTGAACTGAGATGACGGCATTAAAATCAACGGCGAATGACTTACACATCTGCTCTTTGCAGACGACGTCATCATTTCCATCATAGACCTGACGGATCTACAAATACAAATTGTACAGTTGCAGGAGTCACGCGCCATCGGTCTTAGATATGAACATTTCCATGATAAGATGGATACGTCAGGAGCACTGCCCTGGAAGTACCAGGGACGTCGAAGAAGTGGAAAAAGTTGCTTTCTGCGTAATCCTTGGCTACCTGATACACTCCAGTAACAAGATTCAGTTGCGAAATCAGCAGAAATAAGGCAGCATGTACAAGTTTTATTCACATCAGATCACCACTGCTGGATAGCGAACTGATTATGTTCGCACTAAAGGAACTGTTCGACACCACCATCGCACCCGCCATGATTTATGGAAAGTAAATCACAAGGGAAAGAAACTAGTAGTAACGCAAATGGCGATGGAAAGAAAAATATGCAATGTCTCCCTTCGAAACGAAGTTTCAAGTTTGATAGTTCAAAGTCGGAAACGATTTTTGGATTTAATCACTGCCGCTTGCAATTCGAAGAAACGGAGGAATGGCTATGTAACTCTTCTGAAGGATAACAGGTGGATATTCCTAGTTTCTAACTCGTCCGTTTGGACGACTTAATGAACAAACTGTTTGGTTAAAGTGGAAACAAAGGCAATAGCACCGCGAAGAGTGACGTGACTTCCATTCGCATCTGTGGCACAGACGCTGACGAAAACAAGTCAGATTGAATGGTAGTTTTGATTCATGCTTTGATCTCTTTGTGGCTTACATTCTTATTGCTTTATCGTTTCCTGCAATTGAATATTTGGGTTCGTCTAGCTGTATCGAATCTGTCATGACTTCGAAATCTCGTCATTTACACTTCCTCCTTGATGATTATCGCTGTTATTGTTATATTTGCTGTATACACTATTTTAGGTTTTTTATTCATAATTTACCTAATTGGTTCTATTAAGATGTTAGAAGAGATTGACATCAGTGCTGAGAGCAAAACCGAAGAGGTGTACGCACATGAGTTGCGGGTTGGATGGGCGACAGCTGACCAGCCACTTCGCTTGGGGGAACGCGCCGGCAGTTTTGCGTACTGCAGCAATGGGAAGATTGCCACTAAGAATTTTTTTACTGCATGGGGACCGGACTTTTGGCCGAACGACGTCGTAGCTTGCCTGATAGATTATGAACAACGAACCCTTTCAATGATGAAGAATGGAGAATGTATCGGTGTTGCGTTCCAACTCGACAAAAAGCAAGATGCACCTGTTTTGTTTCCGTGCATAACAACGAAAAACGTCAGGTTCGAGGTCAATTTTGGGCAGATGGTAAGTCTGATGCTTAGCAGTGGGTTATAGCGTTGGTTTTACGCTTAGTATTTATCTACCACGGCTATCAGCCAAGTTTGTTGGGTTTGCTATGCCATGAATATCATCAGACTAAAGTTTTCACTTACAGTTTAGTTGGCTGGTTAATCGACTGATAAATGTTTGGCCGACTATTATCTGAAGATTGAATATTTTGTTCGAGCGTTGGTGATCATATTGAAAACTGCAAAATGTATCAAAACAGTACATTCATAAATAACGCAAGCAAATTGGTCTGACGGTTGGTTGACCTGTGCCGACTTTTCGCTCGTCTCGC